GATTTGAACCGCTGACCTGCTGATCTAGCAGTAGCCTGCAGTGCTGCATTTAACCACTGCGCCACCTTGGCTCTTGCTTTGACCTTTGTTCATCAGGCAAGCAGTTATGGATCCATCTTGTTGTGGACTCAGAAAGTCCTCGACTTTACGACCTAGCGGCTAGCAACTAGCCAAGCCGCGCCCTGATTGGCTAAGGCGCGGCTTGGCTAAGCGCGGGCCGCTAGGGGCGCGCTTATTGGCTTTCCCTGCTTGACAGCTCCATATAAATAGCTGTCAAGCAGGGAAGATGCTGAATCGCCTGTAAATAGTTCTGACCTGTTAATAAACACTTCTGCATTCCTCCAGTTCTGGCTCCTGCCTCGTCCTTTCCACTGATCCTCTAAAATTAGGCACAATAGGAATTGTCCATCTCTCTTTCAGAACACAAGGCCCTTCATTGCATAACTCCCAGAGCCGTCCAAAGTCAACCAAATTAGTTCAGACAAACACCTAGGATTTGCATTTCCTTTTTGCCTATAGAGCCTGCTATGACCCCTACATAACCCCTACATGACCACATAGGAATCTGGCAGCAGCCAATAGAATATTAAAGGACATGTTTTTGCACAGGAACAGGAAGCTCAAATACAAAGCCCAAAGAAGTTATAACCTCCCCCACTCTCAACTCCATTTTGTCAGCTGCCCAGAATCACACATAGTTGTTGGTTCTGCTTCATCAATAAACCATCTTTTCAATCAGCCTCTATGTTATTTCCAGCTTCTTTCTCCCAGCTTGGAACTGAACCAGATGGATATTTTTTCCAACCCTTATTTTATAGTCCACTGTTATAGAGAAGGGATTGGTCTTCATTGTCGGTCTAATTCAAAAGTAATATGGTTTAGCATAGCTTGCTTTTTTAAAAGTGGGAAATACGTAGAGTACTTTCATTTGCACTATGACTTGACACAGCTGTTCAGATAACTAAGAGAAATCTCTGAATTTTAAGATTAGAGATTGTCAATCTGATATTGCAATCCTTCACCATTAGCCAGAACTGCTAGAAATTGAGAGCAAATAAAATCTTCACTGTCCTATTTTTTTTCCAATTGTTCAAGTGGAAGGTAATGGGTACTAAGTAATCTGCAAACTTCTACAAAACTTTCTGTCAATTTATCTTTTGCAAGGATCCCTATTTCTCTGACAAGTGGGATACACAACAGCATGCAAATACATTTTACAAGTTCGAATATGTAATTATGTGCACACGTGTATATATGTACACAATAACAATTTCTTGCCTCCTTCGTCCTGATATCATTTGAAAGAGGACTGCCATTTTAATCAGCTTTTTAATGAATTGATGGAGAAGAGCCAAACTTCTGTGGACTTTCAATCGTGTAGAATTTTATAGTTCTTTTTGTTGCTTTGCTGCTGTTACATACATTTTGAGCCTTCTGGTCTGGCTGGCTTTCGAAAGAGTCTAAGTAGCTCTTTTGGCCTATTTGGGATGTTTAAAACCTTTAAATCCTTTTTGATGATTTCTTATGTTGTAGAAGAACCTTTGCAATAAACTGCATTTTTGGAGTAATGTTTTTTAAAACATCAATCTAGTAATGTTTGTAAATAGTGCATCAGCATTGCAATGTATTTATATGCTGTTGCCATTGGTATCACTGTTACTGTGTTGGACTTGAGAGAAAAGTTGTTAACTGCTAATAAGACAGAGATAAACCTACTTCCTTACCTAGAGTCATATGCTATTCCACTAAATTTTGTATATTTGTTTTTCAGATACTTTTTTGCCTACAAAAGCTATTTCCATATCTTCTAGTAAAAACTGCACAAGGTGCATTTTGCTGGCCAAGTTTTGCCATTCTCACTTGGTTATTCTTATCAGCAGTTACTGTTCTTCAGCTTGAACGATCTTGGTAGTACTTAGAACTGCAGTCAGTGGTGGTATTCAGGCGGTTTGGACTTCCCCAGCTCTATGCCACCCTATTTAGCCATAATTTCTAAGCTGCGCACATGCGTGCAAGCCATGCGTGAGGGCAAAGCACATGCATGGAAGGCCATACGCATGCGTGCAAGCTGCACATGCTCACGAAGCAAGTGTGTGCATGCTCACAGTTTTGGTGCGCGGCCAACCAGTGGTAAAATTATGTGAAACCGGCCTCTGACTGCAGTGATGTTATACTGATGCAAATGATATCCAGACTTAGAACCACATTTCAGCCCAAAAGTGTCATTGCTAAGCAAGACAGTTGTTACCTGAATTTTTCCCCAGTTTACAACCTTTCTTGCCACAGTTGTTAAGTGAATCCTGCAGTTGTTAAGTTAATAACATGGTTGTTAAACGAATCTGGCTTCCCCATTGATTTTGCTTGACAGAAGGTCGCACAAGGGGATCCCATGAACCTGGGATACTTCAACCATCATAAATATGAACCAGTTGCCAAGTCTCTGAATTTTGGTCACGTGGCCACAAGGATGTGGCTGCAATGATTGTAAATATGAAGTCATCATAAGTCTTTTTTTTTTAGTGCCGCTGTATCTTTAAACATTCACTAAACAAATGTTTGTAAGTTGAGGACTACCTGAAATCGGTTATCGCGTGTTAGGTGGGAATCTTTCTTCCCTGTCTAGTTCTTTTCCTTGTTGTTCTGGTTAGCAGATATAACTTATTGAAATAATATAAAGTAAGTCTTGTATTAATATTGTAAGGCTGAAATAAATGTCCAAGCTTATACATCAGACTAAACAACAGCAAACCATGACTAGCTTATACAGATGCCTTTAATATATCAATACATCATGTTTCTTATGGATTCCTGGTTATTCTTTTTAAAGGTCTGTGGGGTACTCGGCTCATGGAAGAAACTACAACTCGAGAGAGATACTTGAAAAGTGTTTTGCGTGAGCTGATAACATATTTGATTTTTCTTGTGGTCCTATCAATCTGTAAGTAGTCGTTGCTGATATTTTAATGGTGAACAGATATTTAATATATAATGAAATAGAGTTCCGAAAGATTTCTTCATTCAAGGCCATAATTATTGCTAATCCAGTCAAATTTGATGTTCTGAAAACTGCTAATTCTTAAATTCTTAGTGCTTAGATTTGGCCCACGGGGCCGCCCGGGAAAAAGTGAAGGAACAGTCCATGGTGCCTCTTCCAGTGAAAATGGAGATTGAGGAGGACTGCAGGAGGCTGTCGCGGCTGAAAACGAGACACAGGGGCCACACAAGCTCCATTTTCACTGACAGAGGGCTGCAGGAGGCCATCGCATCCAAAAACAGAGCTCTGGAGCCCGTTTTCTCTGGCAGAGTGCTCGGGCCACCACAGGCGCCTCCAACACGAGTGAATACAAGCTGGCCACACCAATCCTGGCCATGCCCCCAGCCCCCCCCCAGGTCAAACACAACCCATATGTGGCCCTCAATGAAATTGAGTTTGACACCCCTGTCTTTCGTTTAACCAGAATAGTCAATTTCGCCATTTCTGCCAGCTCCACGCAATTCAAAAGCATGATGAGATACATGTATTGATTATCTTAAAAGAGCTATTCCCTCTTTAACTATGGGATATATTTTTTTGTCCCTTTGAGTCAATATTGACTCTTGACAATTACATGTACAAATCCTTGGTAATGTTTTTAAAACTAATGTTCCATTTCATTCTTCCTAGGGTTGACAGGGAATAACTGATCCAAAATCCCCCAGCAAACCTGATGCCTAAGGCAGGGTTAGAACTCACAGTCTTTTGATGTCTAGCTTGGTGGTTTTAACAAGCAGAACAAACTGATTCGTAGAACATGTTTAGGGATACATAAAATATTGAAAGAGCTCTGCTTTTGTCTGCAATGCAGTCTCCTGCAGTGTTTTATTTCTGCTAGAGAATATAATTGGGCAGGCGATTAACCGAATGTAGCTACAGTTAAGTGCTTCAACCTTACTGCAGATGCTTTTCTGGATACCAAAACAAATAAATTAAAAAATCATGTATCTTTTTTATGTTTTTCCTTTTTTCCTTTTTCAAATATTGAATATAAACAAATAGGTTTAATATTAGAAACTAGTCCATGTCCTAATGATTGGATAAGAGGACTGCCTTCAATGTACATTTTCTTCAGAAACTTAATCTGGATCATTTCAGTTTCAATCCAATTTTATTACGTCATTTAGCCAGCAAATAAAACAAAGTAAAAGAAAGAAGAAAATAAACAACCGAGACACATATACATCAATCTGTCTTACCATTTTAGACAGCTACAAGTTTCCCATTTTCCTGGCTACTTTGAACACAAAATAAGAATGATCTGATAAAAAGAATGCAAAAAAACCCCACCCTGTATTTTTCAACTGACATTGGGACAATTCATATATAATACATGGAGGGAAACCTACTTCTCATCCATTTAGCATTAAACATAGACAATCTAGCACCTAGGTTCATTCATCCTAAAGAGCTCCATGTGAGATAATTCTTGATAATATCGTAGAGAAGAAAATATTACTTTACACTTTCCTGTTATGGAGGAAGATGATGATTAATAAATTTATGTCTGAAATACTTATTATTTCCAAATTCCTCTTTACAGTATCTTACGGAATGGTGAACTCTAACATTTACTACTACACAAGAGTAATGTCCCAGCTCTTTCTTGACACACCAGTATCAAAGATGGAGAAGACCAATTTCAGATCATTGTCCACAATGGGAGATTTCTGGAAGGTACTAGTTGAAATGTGATTTTTGAGATCTTTGAGCTATATGCACATTAATGTATGAACAAGAAAAAAAAACCTTTTCTAAGTAGTTACACGTAGATTTGCTTTGTGAACAGCTGTATGGATAGATATGGCCTGATTCATGGTATAACATAAAACGGCTCAACTTCTACTTGTGCACAATAGTAGCGAAAAGAATTTAGGCAAACAGTTAGGGATCATCTATGTTTTAATTTTAATAAATGTTTAATGTTTTTTTTAACATTGCTATATTATGAACAGGAGAAATTAATTGCTAGTATATTAAATAGCTAAATAGTCTTTTCAGTTAACACTATCCTATAATTTGACATAAGCAGAGCATCAATGAATGTCTGTATGTTGTGCTTGTGTAGATAGATAGATAGATAGATAGATAGATAGATAGATAGATAGATAGATAGATAGATAGATAGATAGATAGATAGATAGATNGAGATCCTATATCATTCTGGACAAATAGCTGTGTAATCTCTTTTTAAAGTCCTCTAGTGTTAGATCACCCACAACCTCTGAGACAAACCATTCCACTGGTTCATTGTTTGCATCATCAGGAAATTTCTCTTTAGTTCTAAGTTGGTTCTCCCTTTGATTAGTTTCCATTCATTGCTTCTTGTTCAGCCTTCAAGTGCTTTGGAGGATAGGTTGATCCCTTTATCTCTGTGGTAACTCCTCAAATATTGGAACATCTTTATGTAAAATATTATTGCTGGATGAATGGTATTATCACTACTTTCCCTTTTAGATTTCAAAGGAGTCCATCCTTTGCTTTGAGGAATGTTGATGTCATAACTCTTTCAATTGGGATGAAAAACCTTTCCACCTTGGAGAGTAGCTACACTACATGCAGTCAAAAAAACTTGGTGGAGATTTGAGAACAGATATCTCAAATCCTATAATTTTTTTTCTCTATAAGTAAATATATCAGTCAATGTATCTATCATCTATCCAGACTGGAAGATTTCCTAATATTTATGTATATATAAACAGCCTGATAATTACAGTTGTCTACTAATGCAAGTAATAGACTTATTTTTATGAATTCATCCAGTTTTGCCTGTATGTTCAAGTGAGCTTTTTTTTCAATTTGTGAATCCATTTGTACCTGAATCTAACATCAAACTACACACCATCTTTCCTAGTCTGTCAGAGGAAATTATTTTAGTTATTTATTTGCTTCTTTTTTTTTCATCATACTATTTTTTTTTCTGCTAGTTCTCAACCATAAATGTTCCAAGTTGATATGCAATCAGTAAATTTGCTTCAGTGGAGATTTTTACAAGACTGCAGAGTTAACACTCTAAAAGTAAAGGGGAAATAAAGAGATGTTGGAAATAAATTTGACTTGGTTTCAATAACCAATACTGCTTATCTCACCTACGTAAACACCTGAGAAGGGAGACTCTGCCAACACATTTTAGATTCATCTACTTTCCACTCCTCCATGTTAGGCCTCCCAAAGGAAAATCTAATCTAAAATAAGGAACCAGGGAAACTATAGGTAAAGGTTCCCTTCATACAAATGTGCTAGTTGTTCCATAACTCTAGGGGATGGTGTTCATCTATGTTGCAAAGCCTTAGAGCCAGCACTATCCGAAGACGTCTCTGTGGTCATGAGGCCAGCATGACTAAACACCAAAGGTGCACGGAATGCTGTTACTTTCCCACCAAAGGTAATTTCT